CACGGCAGTGTCACGTGATGCATCAGGACTTCCCCCCCTTCGCTAAACCGGGCATAGGCGTGGCCACGCATGACGCATCTGGTCCGCGGGCCGGGAATTTGACAGCCCTGTGATAGATACTGAGGTAGTTTATGGTATTCCTTCCTGATTTGCTGCCCCCTTCAGTCATTTCATTAATATAGTTTCTTGGTTAAATGATTTTTTGATGAGAAGTTAGGTAATTATTTTTTCCAATTTATATGGTAATGTGATGTTGTAGACTTCACAAAGGTGGAATTTTAACTGTTTTCTTCTATTAACATAGAAGATGCATTCATCTGTAAGGAAATAAATTTGTTTTCTCTATAGTGAGGCTAAAATGTGAAGGTTTAATTATAAATATATGTTTTTTCACATGAAGAGTTAACACTTTTTTTTCTTAAACCTGTCCTTTTTCCACCAGCATATTCCCATTCCAAATGCCTTAAATCAAGGTCTGTCATTAGCTGTCTCTTATTAGCTGATTCTTCCTCCACTTTCCGCTAGGTGGTCTTCCACCCTGGTTGCATGTCTCAAAAAGCTGCTACTGTACCTCAAGTTGGGAATTATTAATTTATTCCCAAATAGATCAAACACCCACCTGTTTGTCTATAAAATTGTCCAAAGATAGCCATTGAAAGCTGCTATTCTTTTCTTTTTGTTGATTTATAAGCAAGATTTTTGGTAGAAAATCTTTCGCCCAATAAAAATGATTAATTTGTTGTTATATTTGGTAGCAGCAATTTCACAAAGCTTATGTTATTACTACAGATATACTCTGTAACGTAGATATATGTAACGTAGATGTGCACTTAGATATACTTCATATACTTTGGGCTTCCAAATTAGCATTTTTTATGTTTGTTTTTATAATATCCTTTGGGTAAACAAGAAATCATTTTCATTTTAGAGAGACAAGAGGATCCAAAGCAAGAGATCACAACTTGTTCAAAAAGTCTTGCTTCTCTCTCTCTTTTTTTTTTTACCAGCAAAATGTTGTCTTTTGTTGCAAGCAGTTAAATGTTGCAAGCAGTTAAAATCTACAAAATATATAAAGATTACATTTAAAAAAAAGTTTCCTTATGTAAAGGACTGGTAGTTAACAAGTCAGTCCAACTTGCTAAAATTAAAGAAAATCTATTTTGTCACATACAGTATTTCATTCTTAACACTATCCTCAACACTAAATTGAAGATGAAGCCACAAGATCATTTCCCACAAGAAATTTTCCAGACTACTGAATTTACTTTTGTGGAAAGAAAAGTATAGAATTCACTATTTATTATCCATTCTTCCACTGCTGGGTCACTTTTTATTTTAGGATTATTGATTTTCAATAATTTTGCCCTATTTGGTTTTAAGTAGTGTTATAATTTGTCTATAGTATGTATGTTAACGAATATACAAATTGCTCTGGGACTCAAGAATGGATTTTAGAATGAATCTAAACCAATCTTCCATAAAGTGTCCCATTCTCTTTAGTTCTTTGCTGATTTATCGAATACATTTACTGCAGTTCGGTTTTATTTTTCACTAAAACAACTTTTCAGTGCTTCATGGAAAAACTCAAGGATAACATATTGACTGAAATATCCGCGATTAAGTTAGTGTTCCTTAACACTCCTATCTGTGTGAATGGAGGACCCACATGAAGGTTGTCATTTGGAAGGACACAAAATAGAAAGATGCACTAAAATATGAGTAGCACTAGCTGTCCATCAACACAAATATTTAGTGAGAAAGGACAAGACTTCAAAGACAGGCATTTTTCAAAGGAATTAACCATTCACTTCATCTACAGTATAAATTCCAGATTACATGTTGACATGTGATTTTTTTTTCTTGAAAAGATTTTTTTTGTAGGTTAGGACACATATTAACCAGGTATTTATGCAATCATTATTTGGTACAGATTTCAAGTATAGTTATTTGCAAAATCTAGAGAACTTTTCATTGGTCTTTTGTTTAAATAACCATTACATTAATTGCCTCTTGCATAACATTAGCATTTTCTCTGCATTTCTCTGTGTTTTTGCATGTTAAACTAAGGAGAGCTGTAAATTCAGGCTATTTTATGAGCAACCTATTTAGGTCTTTAATTGAAAAATAAGAAGCATCTTTTGTGGAAGTAAAAGAATTCACTTTTTATTCTGATTGTAAGTACTTCTCTTACACCTGGGTGGTCTAAAAAGGACTATAGTAGTTCTTTGGCAGGCTTCCTCTTTGTAATTGATTTCGTTCAGAAAGAAACCTTTATTGTTGCTACTTAGGCTGCTCACATTCCTCATGGCTTTGTGCTTTTATTTTCTTCTGCTTAACTGGTAAAAATGGATGCTGCTTTGAGTTCTGCTTTTTTGAATTCCTGGGTTGTTTTTGAAGAAGACTTCCTCTTTCCTTTCTGTATTTGTTATCTTAATGCATCTCTTAACCTAACCAGAATACTTTTCTTAACCTACTCTCTGCTTCAAGGTGGATTCTCATTGCTTATGGAACCAAGAGTTATTATTAAAAAACATTTGCAAACATATCACTCACCGCCCTAAAATAGAATCCTATTTCAACGCCTTCCCAGAAACCCTCCCCCAGCCAAACTGCAGCCTTCCCCAGCAGAAGTGGAGAAAGTGCAGCATGCCAAAGGATGCCTGCAAAAACATGCTGACTCAGTTGGGTGTATCCCAAGAAGCGCATTTAGAACTTCCCAGGGAGAAAAGACGCCTGGACATGTAAGGTTTAGAGTGGGCTAATGGAAAGCGTGGAAAGGATTCTCCCTTTGTTTCTCCACCAGTCCCAAACACCCTTCAGAAAAAACAATCACACCTATCTCAGGGCCCTTTCGGAAAGATTGCCAAGGCAATATTGTGAAGGGTCTGCTCTGAGAGAGCAACCTTGGACCTAGATCCTCCACAAAAAGATATTGTTTGAAACAAAATAAACCCACAGAATAATCTATTCAATGCATTGTAAATGTGTCGTTTCAAAGGTTGGCAGAGATGGAAAAGCGTAGCACTCTTAACACAAAAAAGCAGGCACTCTGTTTTGGATCTCTCAGATGGTTGAGGTCTTGACTTCGACTTCTCCTCTAGCCCTGACTGAATTGCTTGGCTGCCATCAATCATCCTGGCGTTTTCTCCTTCTCTTCCTTCCTCATCTTCTCACCATATTAATAATTGCAGGGTGACCAATCACAGATGTGATTTGAACTTTTAAAGTATTTTATTTTCCCTATGACATAAGGTTGTGTACTCCCAAGTAAGCATGCTCAGTGTCAAGACATAGACAACTCCCTTGAGAATAACATTCTGATTTGCATTCTGATTTACATGAATTTAAAACATGAGTATTTTCTTGTTAAGCACAGCATAGCAGTGTGAATGCAGAATATATTTTAGCTATGAATTTTTCATCAGGAATAAATTTTAGTTTTTCATTGGGAATAAATGTTAGCTATGAATTCTTCTGCTAAAAATATGTTCAAGTGGCATAATCTGAGGCATGCCAAAATGGACCTGGGGAGCCATTTGCCCTGGAATTTCTCTGCTTCACCTTTCTCTATAGTTCTTTTGGGGCATTCAAACTGGAGTCTATTGAGATTAGAAAGTTCATTCCAGAGACAAATGCTGGATTTTCTACTTTGAAACTGGATCCCCTCATCCTGAGTGTAGAGAGAAAATCCTTGAGGAGATAAGTCAGTATTCTGGCCTCCAACTGCAAGTTAGTGGATTCACTGTGAAAGTTTCTTGACAGCAAGATGGGTGACATATTCAATTTAACATATAAATAATATAAAAACAAGTGAGTGTTTTACGTGGTGAACTATCATTTTACTTGATGAACACTATCATTTTATTTCTGCTTAACTGGTCTCACTATAATGTTTACCGTTTGAGATCTTTTTATGTCTGTATGTGTTGAAAGTATGGCATTATAACATTAAAATATCATTGAAAAATATTATCAAAAATGGTTTTGTCTGTTTTTAAACTAGATCAATAAGGACTTCCATCAAATGGGAGATATGCTGGGTTATCCAGTGTCTTCAACCATCTTGATTATATAGGCTATGGATGATAAGAACTATAATCTGAACACATCTGTGGAGTCCTATATTAAGGAAGGGCAATCTAGATAGTAATGTAGCTAGAAAGGAAGACAAAGAGGTTCAAGAGTTTTTTTTTTATTCCCATGCTCTTAATTTTCCAAAAAAAAAAAAATCACAAAAACATAACTTATAAAACAATATGTATACTGCATCCTCCACAACAGCATTATTGAAACATCCAGCGTAAGGGTTACCACAGGTGGGGATACACTGGGAAAGAAGTACCTTGTGCATTTTATATTATATTTCTTTGTCATCTACAGGTAATAAGTATCAACAGGAAGAAGCAACAAGTATGTCTGCGAAAAAAACTTCATATGTGTTTTGTATGCGTATTAATATTTAAAGATCATATTTATCATTTTTATATTTTTCAAAAATTTGCAACAAAAAAATCCTTTAAAGTATTATCTACACTTAACACATAACATCTTTTTAAAGATTTCTTGTTTGGGTTCCTTACTTGTATTGATTCATCTAAAACCAAAGCTGGAGAAAAACAAAGTAATTTAATCCCCCACCCCAAATTTATTTTACCCACCCATGAGGTCACTTCCTCTCCTTGATTTGAGATGCAGTATTTTTCTGGTGTTCCTTTTCTGTCTTTTTCTTTTTCTTTGCATTCTTAACATGCTCCCCTAAGATTCTCTACGAGAATCTTTTCCTTTTTAATTTTTAAATTAAAAACAAAAAAACTCCTTTAAATAAGGACGGACGATAATCTGATTATCAGGATAAGATTCTGAAAGGGAAGCGGGGGGGGGGGGGGGGGGGGGGAACTCTATAGTTTTTTTTTTTTTTAAGAGAGAGGAGGGGGATGTTCGTACTGCGGGCTTGGTAGGAAATGAAGGGGTATGAAAAGGACCCTTTTCAGCCCCGAACTTGGGGTGATTCCCCCCCCCCCCCCGAAGCTTCCAGCTTGAGAAACAAAATCCCGTCGAGAGTCACGCACTGGAGAACTGCCGCCTGTTCAACGGCGAAGCGCAAGGGAAAAGCGAAGATAAATAGAGCGCTGGGAGAAAGCGGGCTCGCCCCACTCGGAGGGCCCCGTCCTTCCGCTTGGCACCGGCGACCCCTCCCTGTCGAACGATCCCCTCCCCGCCCCGCCCGCAAGGAGCGAACCCGGAGCCACGCCCCCTTTCCTCACCGAAGGGGCCGCTCGGAGCTCCTCGGCAACGTCCCTCTGCCCTCTCCCCTCCCGCAGACGAAACCCGCGCACACGCATCCACACGCACACAGCCGCCCGCCTCCACCGTTACCGTGTCTTCTGGTCGTATAAAGTGGACGATTGTTAAGGAAGAAAAGTCCTGTGCAAGTTCAAGTAAACACGCATACAAAACCCGCATCATCCAGAGGAGAAAAATTAAAAATATCATCATCAACGACAACAACAACAACAAAAAGCCATTGCAACTCATCCCTGTGTTTTAGGTCCGATCGGGTCCGTCCCTCTCTCGCTCGCTCGCTGTCTTCTCGCCAGGCACGGCTCGTCTGCCCAAGCTCGTCCGTCCTCCCCATTCCTCCTCCGGCGCGTTTTCCCTGCCCCTGAGCGCAGCCGCGGTCCCTTTTCAGGAGGCGGAGGCCGGTCAGCTGTTGTACTGGCAGGCGTTTAGAGTGGAGCCGGGGCTCTGCAGGCTGCCGTAGCCGAAGTTCGAGTGCTGCTTGGACTTCAGCCTCAGGCTGGCCAAGCTGGAGTTGCAAGTGTCCCTGTAGACGCTGTAAGGGGAGCCCGGCGGGCCGTAGGGGCAGGCGGGAGTCGACATGGCCGTGTTGAGGGACGAGCCGCTCAGGTTGTTGAGGCTGGAGTTAGCCACGCCGGGCACGGCCGAAGGGCCCATGGAGGAAGGCATGCTCATGGAGGGCAGCGTGCTGGGCGCCGAGAACATGGACTGGGCCGACGACAGCGGGCTCATGGAGTTGAAGAAGGTGAAGCTCTTGGAGGAGAGGGGCGCCGGCGCCAGGCTCTTGGCGTGCCAGTAGTTGGACGGGTAGCCCGGGTAGACGTCCTCGTAGGGCTGCATCAGGCCGCTGAACTGCGGCACGTAGCCGTTCTTGCAAAGGTCCATCTGCTGGTTGCGTTCCCGCTTCCGCCACTTCGCGCGACGGTTCTTGAACCAGACCTGAGGGGGGAAGGCAAAAAAAAAAAAAGGGCCCCACCGGCTTAGAAACGGCCACTGGCAGGCACTGCGCTTGCGCGTCCGCTCGCGACAAAGACATTAACGGTGGGGGGTGGGGGAGAGAGAGACTGCCTGCCTAAAATTAGCACCTGTCTGCCTAAGGTAAAGGGGGGAGGGTCCACCCACGGTCCACCCTGCTGTCCCTTCAGGTGGAATTTAGCAAGCCTGGTGAGGGTTTCTCTAAGGTGGTCCCTTCCCCGGCCCATCAAACTAAAATGACAATCTATTAGATACAACCGGAGGACATCTACCGTAGGAAGTACTGGAACAGACACCTTGTCATTTCAACTCTGGGAAAGCCATGATACGATCTGTTTTTTTGGGAAGCTAAGCAAGGCTGGTCCTGGTTAGTTCTTGAAAATGAGACTACCCAGGTATTTCAAGACTACTGCTTGGGCTAGACTGGAAAGTTGGAAAAACTTCCTAGAAGAAGGCAAAAGGCAAATAACTTTGGTGCAATAATGTTGGTAAGGAAACTATCAGATTCACCGATGGAGTGGAAGTGAGGGAGATTTCACCTTTCCCTATAGGGGCGCAGGATAAAAATGGTGATTTACTGGGAAATCATCTGCTGTGTTTGTTGGACATTCTGTTGCGTGGCTGTTTTTCTACCCACCTGCCCCAATTTGCAGTGTTGAAATGAATAAAGCTTTGGGCGACCAGGGGTGCATCTTCAAGAACCGAGAGCTCCCTTCAAGCTCAACACATAGAGCGGAGTAATGAACTGGGAATTTCGTGATACAGTGAAGGGTTCCAAGAAAAACAGGGAGCTTGAAATTTGCCTAGGCATTATGGCAAACTGAGAGCAATCTCCCAATTATGAATTAATAGAACTGATTTAAAGATGCCAAACAGAACTGGGGTCCCCATCATGGCACTGTGGGCTCCAAAGAGCCCACACAGCCTATGGCACAGCAACACTTCCTCTTTAGTTTTAATTACTGTTATTTTAATCTAAAAGAAAGAGAAGAAGAGGATGACTAGCTTTAAGGTGGTTAGAGTCTGTTACAGTAGCAAAGAGTGTACAGTTGGAAGAGCTGAAGGACCAAATTGGGGATAGATCTATGGAGAATATCTATATGGTCACTAAAGATCAATCATCACATTGACTGCTGACATTTTGCAAAGTAAATTGCCCATCTCCAGTATGCCTTATTTTCTAAGAATGCTTCTGCTATCTGTATACAAAATAAAAATACTCAGCAGCTGCAGCCAATTTGGAAATGCTGCTCAAGAAAAAGACAATCTTTTGTAGGAGTCTTTGGGGAAGAGTAAACAAAGACATAGCATTGTTTGTCCCCAGTTCTCAAGATTCCAAGGCTGCCCACTAGCCCAGGGGCTAGCGATTCCCAATCTACAAACTGATCGGCATGATTCAGAGCTGTTTCCATTGGCTAGTTAAAGAATCCCCTGCTGGATCTTTTCTGAAAACTTAATACGGTACAATAATTTGGAAGGGAAGGGAACCTAATAGAAAAGTTGTCCAGCATTACTTTTCTTGCTGAAAGAAGAGGTGCCAAACTAAACTGCATATCTGTTGAATAGCCATTCTTTCTCCTGGACCATACACACAGTCGTGCAATGTAGCTACGTAATCTTATTCTGGGCATCTTTGTTCTCATGAGCTAAGTCAAGACCTGGGACTGAAAATACATTCTGGGGTTCAGCCACTTGAGATTCAAATTAAGTTTGGTGTGTAAAGCTAACCTGGGTAACTTCTATTGATATGCTATATTGGTGGACTGCTGTAAACAGGGGTAAGTTTGTTACATTGATTGATTTTGTTTTGTGTTGCAGCATTCTTTGCCTGTGTCTAGATTTCTACTATCTCTTCAGCCAACTTCCCCTCTGATGCTTTCTCTGAAAATGTCCTCTGGCAACAAGGAATGGTTAAGAAGGTTTCTCAACATCTCTAATCAGTTTACATATTACTGTATATCTTAAAGTCCAGATTTTATTCTTTCTGGAGCAATTATTATTATTAGTACTACGGCTACTATTATTATTGTTGTTATTGAATAATTCAAGGTGGAAAGATATCCAAAATATCCTCCTTTTATTCCCCCAGAACAACAACCTTATGAAATGGGTGGGGCTGAGATAGCTATAAGCAAAACTCTGGTTGCAATCAAATCAAAACTCTCAAAGTATAATAAAAATGCATTAACTTATTCATTACTCAATACATTAAACACGCATATTAATTAATATTTCAATCTGCTTTTGGGAAGTCAATAGGAAAAATGTACCGATATTCCTACTTCTTTTCAGCCTCATCCTATGCAACATTCTGGAATTTCTTTATTGTAAGCTATGAGAAACCTGTACTTTTGCTCTAGTAAGAAAGGCTGCTAATCATTCTAATTGTCCATTTGGGGTATTTGCCGATATCACAACTTGTACATGCCTGAAAACCAAGGGATATATTTTAATGTTGATATTAATAAGAATTAATACTTTGAAGAGGATAGTCTTTAAAGTGGGTGCCCTCCAAATGTTCCCTTTTCCAACTTGTCAGTCCTAGCCATTGCTTAATCCGATGTGTGCCATGAAATAAATTCTCACCTTAAAAAAAAAGCCCCTGTCCTTAAATAGGCTGTCTTGGAAAAAACACCAATGTTTTCAATAGTTGCCCTTTATATCCAAAGCAGATAAAGATTGTCCCAGACAGCATTTAGTCAGAGGGATAGCTGGCATTTCTCTCTGGAGATGGCCTTTTCATTTTGCGATTGGAGCCTTACAGACTGCTGCCTTGACTTGGCATCTCCTTTGTTTCCTGTTCAAGATCTCTGGATTTCATTTACTTGTTTCCCTTCCATTAACCACTTTCTGGCCAAACCTCTTGCCCAAACTGCTGTTCTCAGACTGATCCTGGTGGCTTTATCCAACTTAAAAAAACAAATAAACAAAAATTCCTTATTTCTGGAAATTAGAAACGGATGAGGCAAGTATCCTAAAGGTAGACACAGCCAACCAGTCCTATGCATCTTTTGCCTTTCACCAAAAGTGGCATCTGCTTTTACAACTGAATGTTCAGTATTTATAGTTCTGCTGCCAGAAAAGGGAATCAGTTTAGATGCCCTGGGGAGGTCTAACAGAGGAGAGAAGCTGGTGCAATCTTTGAGAAAATAATCTTTTAGGAAAGGCTTTCAATTTGTTTTCATGAAAAACCCAGGGATTCAAAAACACCGGAAAAATATCTCATTCGTAACCTGAGGCAGGACGCAGTTGCAATTGCACTGGGTCCACTTCTAAGAGCAGTAGGCCTTAGCCACGTGATTCCTGGAGGAAATATGGCTAGTGGAACTGCCTGCATTACTGGTAGGTTAGGATTTTGATAGGAGTTGGCTGCCAACTCCTATCAAGCAGATGCAAAAAGCTATTGTTGAGAGCAAAACTGGGCTCTCAGCTAAACTGAGAATCTAACCACTTTGTGGGAATACCTTTTTTCCTAAAGGTGGCTCTGTAGTTCTGGTGGGACTACAGTGCAACTCCCCCCCCCCATTGAATCATGTCTGATTCTCAGAAATCACCTGGAGAAGCCCCTGCAGTTTCCTTGACAAAGTTTTTGAGATGTAGTTTGCCCTTGCCTCCTTCCTAGGGCTGAGAGAAAGGGACTGGCCCATAGTCACCCAGTTGGCTTTCTGCCAAAGGCAGGACTAGAATTCATGGTCATCCAGTCTCTGGTCTGATGCCTTAACCACAACACCAAATTGGCTCTCAAAAACAAAGCAAGGGGTAATTTAATTGGCTATGTAATTCCTAAGTCCAACTATGGAATTCCTGAGCCCAACTCACAGGATTGTAGATGCCTATTTTGTCCCCTGTTTTAGAAAGTTCTTTGCAGATCAAATGTGTTTGCCAGTTTGGAGAATGGTTTAACCAAATGAAAACAAAAATGCAAGTTTCAACAAGAAAGAGCAAGAGAAGGAGTTGGGGAGGAAGAATTAGCTGCAACTCCTAGAGGAAAAAAACGTGGAAAAAGCCGAAAAGCAGCTTGAAATTCACTTCTCAGAGAGTACTTCCAGACAGGGATTTCCTGAAACCGAGGCTAAATATTTTAATGCTGCCTCTAGATATTTTCAAACAAAGTCCTCTTAGCATATTTGGCCAAATTAAAGTTTTAGAAAAATACAACTACAGAGGAGTTTGAGCTAAGATTTGGAAGGAAATGGAGTAATCTATTGATTTCCCCCTATTTTATAAGCAGTGGGGGGAGGGTCTGAAGGAGGGAATGTGGACTATTGGATTGAACCTCTTGGTGGAGGAATCTAAATTAAAGCATCAGATGGCTGCTTACCCTCTGCTTGACATCCTACTTTAATTTGGAAGCAATCCTTCCCTACTGAAGCCAAGTCTGGCCTCCACATTAACTTATTAGGGTCAATAACTTTGTATGAAGTGCTCCTTCCTTACAGGGCAAACTCATTAATTCTCATGGCACTTCAGTGAAAAAACAAAACACAACCCTGTTGATCACAGCAGGATTTTAACCTTGTAGCAATTAATTAGATCATATGCGGAATAATTTGAGGATGGACAGAATGGGACAAATGACATCAATTGCACTTTATTATACAAACTTTGGCTGAATTGTGCCGAAATTAACAAAAAAATGTGCATTGCTGCAAACTTTGGGGAAGTGTATCTCTATAGATGTACTCCAGGTGAGGATTTCTCACTGATGTTGAGGGGCAAATGTGATTAGAAGTATGTTTTTAATTTTTTTTATTACTTTCACTGTAAAATGCCACTTCTTTCAGCATACTAAGTCTCCCACCCTCCAGTCTTTTATCACAAAAGCACTTTGCCATGCAATTTTCAAAATGCTTCATTAAGGGGCAGCCTCAAGGCTATGTTAAAAGAGGAATTCCCCCCCCCCCAGTGTAGAGTGTAAGCTTTGAAATGATTGGATGGTTTACTATTTTTCCTTTAAGGCAGCATAACTAATCAGCTGAAATACAATGCTAAGCTTAGCATTTCAGATTTCTCTGCTGACTTCAAGGTACAGAAACAGTGCAGTAAAGAAAATACATAGAAGTATGGAAGAACTGCTTTGATATGACTTTTGCCCTTAAAATTTCAGGAAAGTCTTGGGCAGACTCATTAAGTCCAGGGGTGGGTTTCTACTGGTTCTGTCCGGCTCTGTAGAACCGGTAGCTCTGAAGAGCAGCAGACATAGAACCGGTTCTATGTCTGCTGCTGTTTTGGCCCACCCACCTGCCCGGGCTCTTATCTGACCTTTATTTCCTGCTTTTTCAACCTCAGCTGCTTTGTGCGGCACAGCTGCGGTTGAAAAAGCAGGAAATAAGTGCTTTTTCAAATGCTGTGCCCCTGCGTGCAGCGCTGCTCAGCTGTCCAGGCAGCAAGCTGACATGCGCACGAGCGCAAAATGTAAATAACCAAACCAGTAGTTACACCGGTCGGATCCCACCCCTGGTTAAGTCCCATCCAATTTCCACTCAGTAAGCAGCTGCAGGATTGAAAGCTAAGACTGTCTTTTTCTACAGGAGAAAAACTGGTGGATCTTAATTTGAAAGGCACAGGAATAGGCTACAACAGGGGTCTCCAACCTTGGCAACTTTAAGACTTGTGGACTTTAACTCCCAGAGTTCCTCAACCAGAGTTCCTCAGCTTTGCTAGCTGAAGAACTCTGGGAGTTGAAGTCCACAAGTCTTAAAGTTGCCAAGGTTGGAGACCCCTGGGCTACAAGGTTCTAATTTGCAGATGATAATAATGAGGAACCTCTTGATTTTCTTGCAGACTGATGCCTAAAGCTACTTAAGTCTCTGCTTTTCTGCTAGCGTTTTGTTGGGGGGTGGGGGGTTGTTGGTGAGGCCTTCTTGGCAAAGTAAGTTTCTGTAGATCCCATTAGGGGGTGGAATGTGAGGCTCATATATTTTAAATAGATGTCAACAATCTATGTGGAAAAGCTCTGATTTCCTTTCAAATCTAATAAGAAGATCTATTTTTTAAAAAAAGCTAAAATAACACAACTTCAGTATATCTTTTTCCCTGTGGGCCCCAATAAATTATAGGAATCCTCAATAACTTATTTCTGGAATATTGTCATATCTTTAGGGTGATCTCCATTTAGAACCTATTAAATCAAGAACTACTGCATTCATCAAGCCAATAGGAATTAAATACACCCACACCTTCAGAAGTTGTAGGATTCATTTGCCCTCCTGAAAGCATAAAGCAAACTGAAGTTGAGGGAAGGAGACCCAAAACCAATAAACCAGGAATCCAGCATACAAAACAAGCAAAGAGAATGACTAATAAAATGCCAGTCCTGTTTGTCTTACAGGTTATTTCTGACACTGGATCCCCTGAAACAAACTTCAGCAATTCCTGCCATTGAAGGCAGGAAATCCCTGACAATCAGCTCAAGCAGCCACGTCTATCTAGAAAACACTTAGCTGATTTTGGAATCTCAAAATAATCCCACCCCCTGATGAATTTAATCTTTCTCTTGTCCATGATTTGGAGGCTCCATTGATTTTAACAAAACCTATTACCCAGCAATTGTTCATATGCAAGTATACATCACTGCATTGCATTGTAGTGATGTATCTTCGTCTACACTCAGCTTGGCATGAATTGAGGGGCACAAAAATTCATATATATATAAACTGGCTGTCAGTATCAAAATGATCAGTGTATCCTTGTTAAGAAGTAGCTAAATATTCCAAATACCTGTCTTTCCTCCTCCCCCTTAATATTATTTTAATTTAGTTACTCTTTCTTGGTTATTTTTAAATAATTGGTGCAATTATTCTTATACTTGTACAGATAAATTAATATAGCTCTCTGAAAGCAACACCTAAAACCTTTCAGTTCACTATGATTTACTTCCATTATTGGGCACAATTCTGCCCAAATTTTGGGTTTTATGTCCATCTCAGAGTAAACTCTGGTTTGCTTTATCATGGTTTATTGTATTATTCACAGTTGGATGCATCTGCACAATGGCAATACACAAATCAGAATGATTAGAAGTGCACAAAACATTACATTTCAAAGAAATAGAGTTTAGCTGAGCATGTTGCAGAATCCTGCTTATACGTATGTGACAGCTTTCCCTTGATTGTAATGGAGTTTGTCTGTTCCTACCTCTACTATGTACCCTTTTAAAGGCACACTGACTGCTATTCTGTGTACTCTGTAGGATAAAAGTCTCATAAAACACGACAGTACTCAGTGTTACCATGAATAATATAGCAACTTAACCTGCTGACTAATTTTTTTTCATTCCAGAACTAGGTACAATTCTTTGAAATTAAGCCCTAGTTACCTCACAGGACATCTGCTAATGTGCTTATGACTGGCTGTATACCTGCCCAGTATATTTGTGTGTGTGTGTGTGTGTGTGTGTGTGTGTGTGTGGGTGAGAGAGAGAGAGAGAGAGAGAGAGAGAGAGAGAGAGATTATGCCTGTCAAATCAATCCCAATATTGCATTTGTTTTATAGCTACACTATTGGCCTTGTCCAGGGTTAAAGCCAACACCTGCTATTATAGTTCCATTGAAGGCCCTTGAGTCATGATGGGAATTTTGGAGGATTTCATGTAACCTGGCCCATTTACCTGGCTATTAGTATCAAAATGATCAGTGTATCCCTAATCTTTTGCACTTCTCCCAAAATTTCCCATTTATAGTCAGAACCAATAGAAATCTATAGAAGGCTATAGAAACCAGGGGAGAAACACATCCGTATTCCCAAAGCTTCCTTATCAGTTTCCAGAAGTAGGAAGTGAGACAAAAACAATTTCCTCCTTCACCTGACTTTTTTTTGGGGGGGGGGGGGGGGAATCTGGTGTTTTTATACATTTCCCCTTCCTGTGAAAAAGAGCGCACTCACAAAGCCCATCCACCAGGAGCGTTGCATCCTCTTTCCCTCCACCGTGAAGATGAACCAGAATTGCTGTTATTAAATGGCTGCATTTATAATCAACCCAGAGGAAACAATAAATCTTGGGCGACCTTTGTCTATTTTGGGCAAATCATGCTTTTCCCAAATAAATAAATGAATAAATAAGCAAAAAGGCTTGTGACTCTGTTAGCGTTTTTTCTTAGCAAGGCCATTCCTTCAAGATAGAGGGAAGGCAGGAGAGACTGCATTTCAAGCCATTTGAAAAAGCATCTTTTCCCATCAGGAATTGCGATAAAGATTCACCTCCTGGATGAAATCTCAGCCCGATTTGGATGCTCTGTTCAGTTCTGCCGAAGGTCCACTTCGAAGAGAGCAAAACCTCATTCAGGGCTGACCCTCCACGGAACTGCGCAGCCGAGATTTAGGAGCACGTGTTGGGCGTCCCTTCCTTTGACGGATTTTTGGGAGTCTCGTTTAATAAGCGTCCAAAGGGTTGGACACAAAAAATAATAAAGTGTCCAACAACTAATCAAGAAATAATCTTATTTAGAAGGGACACCAAGTGAAATCAAGGAGATTTAGCTGTGCGGACAGACAGCTCCGTTTACTGATTTTAGCAGCTAGCCTTTCAGCAAAGTTTAAACATGGGTTTAATCCTCTCTCTCTCTCTCTGTGTGTGTGTGTGTGTGTGTGTGTGTGTGTGAGTGTTTAAAGTAGCTCCCAGATTCGCAGCCTTTTCTGTATATATTTATGTACTGAAAAGCAATGAAGAGGCACAGGTAATCCTTGAGCTTACTTCAAAGTAAGTGGCTTTGGAGATTCTGGTTCCTAAGCAAACCTCCATGGGATGAGATTCTTCGAATAAAATGTGGGGAGATGGCCGCATTTATACAGCAATTCAATAAACTCTTGATTGCACCCTAATCGAGGCATGGTAATATTGGAACCCTATGCAGGTTGCCAAACGGGGGGGAGGAGGGGGGAAACCTTCGCTCGATCCAAGAGGATTTACGCCTTACTTTTGCTCACGTAATTGTTGGTTTTGTTTCTTCTGTGGGCTTTTCCCGAACTGAAGGCGTTCGAGAGCCGGGTTTTGCAAAGGGAGGGAGAAGTTACACGGCCTGTGCTTTCCCTGATCAGGCCTCCATCGGGCCTGGCGTCCCTCCGGCCCCCTTTAAACACAGCGCAGCGGTTCTTAGCCCCGTTGCTGCAACGGAGAGGGCTGCAGAAGACGACTTTGTCTTCTGTTCTCATGCAAAGATCGGTTCCGCGGGCCGCCTCCGCGCCCGCATCCCTCTCGCGCGGCGATCTTTGCCCTTCCCAATCCGAACCAGGAGGGAGACGCCTGCAAGTAACCCTTGGAGCTCTTTGGATTCCTGTCTCCGAGACACTTATTCAGGGGTTGCTCAGTGGAACGGGATGGGCTCACTTCCAGGCAAAGCCCGCTCAACCCGGGAAAGGCACTAAGACGGAATAAGCTCTAAGGAGTGACCTTTGCGTAGTCTGCATACAGTGGGGCAAGGAGGAGGGGGAGAGGAGAGGAAAGCTTTGGAGAGCGATCGCGGAGGTGGCTCACCCTGACTCTGGGCTCCGTGAGGTTGGTCCACACCGCGATCTCCTCCCGCATGCTCATGTCCGGGTAGCGGTTCCTTTGGAAAGTGGCCTCCAGTTCCTGCAGTTGCTGGCTGGTAAAGTGAGTCCTTTGGCGCCTCTGCTTCTTCTTCTTCGCCGGGTCGTCCGCGCTCCCCTCCTCGTTTTTCTGCACGCCGCTTGGCTCCTTTTCTAGAAAGTAAGTGGGCCGAGGAGATCGAGACCACAATAAGGATCGGTTGGGGTGCGATTAATAGTATTATTACGAAGAAAAATTAAAGGTCTTCCGCTAGGCCCTTTTAATGCAAGACGGCGCAAGTAACCGGGCCTCTGCCAACAAGTTGACTAATATGAAAGTCTGTAACCCGAATCTCCCGTAAATTATACCCCATTTCGCAATAGCAGCGAGAAGGTTTGGATTGGAACCAGCTCCCCTGTTTCAAAAAGTTTGGAGAACGGAAGGGTTTGTCACTACAGAAACAAGGGCCAGAGATGACCTTTCTGCATAGAAAACTCAGAAAGCTAGAAAGTAAGCGATGAAATAGAGAGAAAAAATACTTTTTAAAAATTATGCTTTTACGCGTAATAGAAAAATTCGGATGACTTAAAGTTTCATTTACAAATCAGAATCTTTGTTCTCTCAAAAAGGAAGAAATTCACTGCTCATTTTGATCGTCTTGAGGCATTTTTTCTATTTTGCTGAGGACTTACAAGGGTATACTACTTAGACTAGAGAACAACCTTTTCCCCATCTTAAACTGAAGGAACGGGGAAGAAAGGACAGGAGCAGCTATACCTTGGGAATTTGGAATTTCTACCTTCATGATGAGTTTTCAAGGATCCCTTTTAATATTTAATTAAAATGTATAATATTAAGAAAATGTTTTTGTTTAAACTATTGAGATAAGGATATTTTGCAAATTTGGATTTATCTCTGTTCAAAAATACAAAAATTGCATTTGTACGCAACGTTCTCCAGAAAGCATAAAATGTGTTTGTAGACTAATGGCTAAAGTTTGTACAAGTTTGAAGTGACAGGTCAATTGGCATGACCTTTCCTTCGATCTAACCATTCATGTAAATGGGAGTGGGAAGACATCAGGGCTCACTCAAGCCCCAAGTTTTATAGGCTTCAGTGCATTAAATGTGAGGGCGCTCCTATTTTTAAAATGCATGGCAGTGTCCAGATACAAACAATTCACATTAATTCCCAGGTTAAATTGGCAGAAGGTTTCTCCCACTATGCTTTGGAGGGGATGAGATATAGTTAGGAATATCGATGCAACTTATTATTTGTGGAACTGAAGTGAATGTTTAGAGAGCATAAGGGTATTATTCTGAGATATTTTTCTGACAGTCAGTTTGATATAGCAGCTAAGGCATAATATACCTGCAAACCAGAAAACTCTTGAGTTCTAGTCTTGCCTTGGGCATGAAGCCAGCCGGGTGACCTTGGGTCAGTTAATCCCTCTCAGTCCTAGGAAAGAGGCCATGGAAAACTACTTTCCAAATCTTGCCAAGAAACTTCAGGGACCTACCCAGCCAGCCATCAGGAGTCAACACAAAAAAGGATAATTCTACCATCTAAGGCCTAGATCCATACCTACTGAAAAAAGTGTAGCTGAATTCAGTGGAACCCACCACTTTTGAAAAGATTTGATATTCAGTTGAACACCTCGACAATTCAGCTAAATGTCTCTTAATGCTAATACAATTCAGCTAAATGTCTTTCAATGCTAATACTTTTATAACTAAATTATAATCAAACTGGCCAATTTGCAGCCTATAAATTCTAGCAAGTCTAATGGGACCTGGAAAAGAATGCTTCCCAAGTTGAATTAAGGCAGAGTCTTTTTGGTCCAAGTATTTATAATTGAATTGCTTGTGCAATAGTTACTGAAGTAGTTCAGGTTGCACCGTGGTGGAGAAGCAACATTCATCTTCACATGATTCTAAATCAGTTTGTAAACTGATATTATGTAAGTATTTCAAAAGAATTTTGGAACATATTATGCGTGTCCATTTGCAGTTTGAATACATTATAATTAAAACTACGCAGAAGATTCTGCAGTTGACCTGGCTAATAATCCACATTGTTTGCTTTCTTTAATAGCCTGCTTAAAATAAATGGCATGACTCAAATTGAAGTGTGTAGTAAAGGAGTTGTGGGTCTCCAGCCATGTCTTTCTAGAAAGTGAGAGGTTTTTTTTTTTTTAGAGAATATTATTTTTCTTCCTCCCTCTACAGACATTTAAGAAAGTCACCTTATTATCACATGCATCTACTATATTTATATGCTTAAACAGACCTACACCCTCCCACATTAATATTTATACATCCTTTTTATATTGAAAAGTCAAACTGCAGACATGATCCATCCCAAAATAAGCCCTTTATGTTCCCCTGATTTCAGCAGATTACAAAAAGTGCTTTGCCTTTCTAATTGAAAAGAGCAAAGAGCTCAATGGCTTAATTTCGGCAAGATCAGATGCCACATAAAAATGCAGAAATTACTCATGCCTCTTGAAAGAAAGAAAAGTGGTCACGGAGCAGGCACCGGCAAGATTAAATTCACATTGATTCTTGTACAACAAGCTGCTGTTTGGGGGAAGAAAAAACAAACCCCATCCCATAAAGTATTAGGCAACTCCATGGTATAAATCAACTTGGGAGGCTATTCTGTATACTGAAAACCTAAATACATTCTCTCCTCCTTTTGAAGGCCTGGATTTTGATATTCTTCCCAGAAGACTGATCAGAGAGATGGGTTGGTGCCCAGGCGGTAGCCCCTAAAGGGCAACTAGTTCTGGAGAAGCGGCTTTCTTTCAACTCAGACAGGAGGGTAGGGAAGCAGTTCACAGAGCCCACAAGGCCTTGGTGCTGCTGCTGCCTAAGGAAACTGTAGTCCTCTTCCAGCTTCTTCTCTCTATCCACCAGGGCCGGGTACAACACTCACTTTTTTCCTAGCAAGGCCACAGAAAAGAGGGCTCAGCTTGGGACCGGTTTGGTGGCATTGGCTTTTCTTAAGGCTGGACCTTGGGGAAAATGTGAGGGAGACAGAGGGCAGGGCCCCCAAGGACCTTATGTCCCCATCAGTCCTCAAGAGGGGGTGAATTTTAACTCTCTTCTGCCAAGGGAGTCTCTCCCCCCCCCCCCCGCTCCCCCAAAAAGCTGCCTTCTCCCTTGGGCCTCGACACAGCTCACTCCCACCAGCTTGGACTTGGCGGGCGGGCGGGCGTTGCACTGTTTTCCAGAAGGTAAGAAGTGAAAACTAAGCTCCGGTGGTGGGCCTAAACAGGGAAGGTGCTGCTTGCTCGAAGCCTTTTCACCATTAGGAACCACAGCTTGGCACAACCATAAGGACCCTCAGCTGCAGTGGTCCTCCTGCCATTTGCAAACCACTCCCCGAACAGCTGGGTATGTTTTTTAAAAAAGAAATTGTGGTGTGACTTGGCGAGGAGGCGCTGCGCTTTTTGGCTGGGTCGCTCCTACCAGGTGAACAAGCCTAAAATTTATTTCAGAGGAAATCTAGAGGCAAAGGTGTTGTTTTTCTGAGCAATTGCCCCATTATCGTTCAAATTCCCAGGCTCCTGTTTAATTTGACCCTTTCTATTAAATATTACCGGTGGTTCCCTATTTAATTTTTCCTATTGGAATGCATTGTGTATCTTGGAACTGGCTCGCTTGGCTCTTTCCTCTCTTTGCTTGGTGGAAATTGTTTCTCCAACTGATGCAACTGAATATGTAAACATTAAGAGGGGCTGGTCTCAGGGTAGCACAAGCCTAAATTCAGCAATAAATAGTGGGAGTGACTTGAAGGGTTGCCTCTTAAACTTATTTCAGTTTCGGGGAAACTCGGCCAGTTTTATTGAGATCAGCTGTCACATTAAAATACAGAGATGATTTGGAGTTTGAGAATTGGATTCTACTCTTGTAGAAGAATTAGATTCTCTTCCTAATTTGAAAGTTAAATCCTTTCCCAAAGAAATATCTACTAATTTCCCCGAACACCTTTCTCCACTCGAGATGCCTTCACTAAAGCACGACTGTCAAAGTGCACACCAATCCGGCACAATGCTCTTAGGTGTTATAGGTTGCCATCCACAACACAGTTCTTGGGAAAGGAGAAGTGTGAAGGATTCACTCTGGGGTTACAGTCTGTCATCGAGGCGTTGCTTTTACTCATTTTTAGGGAGTTAACTTTCCCAAGATTTGAGCCGAGGAGGAGCACTGCGGTAACTTTCTCAAGCAAGGAGCGTGGCTGGGCACTTACATTTGGGGGGGGGGGGGGGGAATGACATTTTGCAACCCCCCTTCCCTTGCCCTGAAATAGAAGAGAACCACTTCTTCGTAGCAAAAGACCTTTTCGGAAGAGTTGGACGGCATACATAACTAGCGTTGTGGAGTAGGCAATTGACTCACGTTCACCTGCAAATAAGGCTGACGGAGGGAAGCTGCCGCCGGTGTCCTTTCACACAACTCTCTCCTAAACATGCCTCTCCCTCTAGGAAGACATCTCGGATTGAAAGCAACGCCGGGCGGAATAAGATGTCTGCGCATTCCCTGGCCAGGGCCTGAAGCTTTCCTCCCTTTCTCCTCCACCTTTTTCTTCTTCTTCTTCTTCTTCTTCTTCTTCTCCCCCTCCTTCTTCTCCTTCTTCTTCTTTTTTCTTCCCCGCCTGAGTTTTGATGGGTGCCCTCCCCTAGCCCTCCAGAGAGATCCTTTTTACACGTCTACGCTATCCAGACTGGACAAAAAAAAAAAACACAACAAAACAACCCAAACAGGACTTGCCGTGAGTTTGAAAACCCGGAGCCCGAATGGAAGGGCTCGCAAAATAAATAAACAAATAAACATTTTTTTTAAAAAAAAAATCGAGAGCTGCGTATTTTGGAGAAGAAGAAGAAAACAAAAATAAAAATAAAAATAAAAGTGCCAGTTAGCCTGGGAAACTTGAGCGCAAACTCCGCCACAACCGAGAGGGCGCGATGAATCTCGCCGCCCCTCGTTCCCATGGCGAAACCAAGGGGTTCCGGGGCGCTTCTGCTTTGAGTGGGGACCCTCTCGCCTGATCGCGCCCTGCTCGCTAGGGATGGAGGAGGAGGGCAGGAGTCTTGCTCTGCTTACTTCCTGTAAACCGCGGCCGCCCAACGCCCCAAACGGTGGCTTTACCTGGGACTTCGGTGTCCGAAGATTCGCTGGCCGAATTCTCGATGGGTTCTCTGCCTTCGGAAGCTCTCTGCAAATGGAAGCTGGAAGCCATGTCGTGGGACGCCTGCGGGGTTCTCAGGTTGTCGGGAAGCCTTTCCAAATTCATCCCACCTTTAAAGGAATCCATAAGCAAGAGGGAGGCTGAGGCGGAGCCTGCGTGCTCTCGGCTTTATGTTCATACAAACTGAGAAAGGAGAAACCGCTGAACTAGAGAGAATGACAGCGAGAGGCTGCCGCGGAGGGGGTCCACCGAAGTCCGCTTTATTGATATTATTTACTTTTAAATCCACTAAGATTCGGCTTGGCTGACTGTAGGGACAGGCGCGGCCGAGCTTCAGACAGGTCCGACTTCCCGGGGAATGGGGGTGGGAGGGGTGGGGTGGGGGGCAAGGAAACCAGGCGAGTCGCTTGGGGTGGCCAAGATTCAAATGACCTGCCCTGGAAGGAACGCCTGAAAGTTGAAGCAAGACTCCGCCCCTTCTTTCCTCCTTTCCTCCCTCCTCCTCCTCCCTCCTTCCTTCCTTCCTTCCTTCCCTCCCCCCCCCCCCCCCCCCCCCCCCCCCCCCCCCCCCCCCCCC